GTTGCACAGTAATTTCCCTCTGGATAAATAAAGCTTCTTGAATCTGAATCTTGAATATACTGTATGTTTGCGCATATCAGTGCACCATGGAGCACTGTTGCTTTTACTTATACAATATATATATATATATATCTTTGGTTTAATGTTGTGTTATTTGTCCTGTCCCCTCTGGTCTTTGACAAATGAAGTGGGTATAAGGCAACCTACCATCATATAAAAAGTCTTCTTTTCTTTCTCCTTATTTCTCCGAGCAGCATTTTCAAGCAGAGAACTGAAGCATTGTTTAATGATGGCAGACCAAATCCATTTCAAGGTTGTATGACGGCAGAAGATAGAGGACATAAAGAGTTATACAGTATGCAAAGAATTAAACGATGCATTTTCTAAGTAACATACATCCATTTGATGATAAAACATTTACAGTAAACATTTAAACATGTACGGTAGATGCAGTACATCTAAACTGCACTGGTACATGTATAATGATTGATATAACATATGCCAACAAGTGACCAATGTCCCAACCACCATGTGACATGTACTGCACACCTAGTTTCACCCCTTTGAGAAATCCAGGTCACCTGCCATCCTCCCATTGGGCAATGTGCTCTGCAGCTGTGAAAACACACACACACACACATATTACAGAAATAATTCAAATATGTACATTATTTGAAATGTTGAGCACATTGTAAAAAAGGAAAAACAGTTAAGTGTGCAGAAAAAATGTGGTTTGTGTCATAAATCCCTAGTAATCCTTCAGTTTTACTCAAACGTGACTGTGAACTTAATAATGCAAAATATGACATAAGAGACAAAAGTGTAGACTTTTCACGCATAAAACCCACACACACACACACACATATTCACAGACATTACTCCGGAGTAACATAGCTTAGTGTCTGCCTCAGGCTGTGTGATATCCACTTATCATTTTATTACCAATTAAAACACAGCAAAGAAGACTGGAAATTACTCTGATGGGATGGAGGGAGCTGTATGCTTTTAATCAGCTAAATTGATGCATTTCACTCTTTGTTGCTTCAGTGAAATTTTGCTTTTACTTTGAGATGAAGGGTGGTAAAATGACAAATAATATTCACATATGTTTAGCTTTGTTATCGTCCTCTATACTGCTGTGGCTTAACTACTGCCGCCTCAAGCCCTCTCTTTATCCTGATCTGCTAGTCCCATTTAACACAAACTACAAAGACATTAAGGTCTTAAAAAAGCAGGCTGTAAAAACATTGTCCTAGCAACGTTGACCACATTCAGAGTGGATCACTCTTTCAGCTATGACTGATCAATACTAGCAGCAACCACTTGCAAAGACACAATCAAGTGGGCAAAACTAAACATCTGCCACCATCTCATTCCTTATAATCAATGTAAGTGGTGTGTGTGTCTAAACACTGCGGGCCTTTGTGGAGCTGACGTATATTGATCGTTCAAAGTGCCATTGATTTAGACTGAGTGCCATGTTTAAATGTGTAGGCAGGATCACACAGAGATTTCAGTGTTGTGTTCACATCATTCTTACTGGATTAACATTTTACACTACACCCTGCAGTGGTTATCAGTGACAGAGGCTGGGAAAGAGGTAATACTAAATGTCTGGACACAGTAGAGCGCAGCAGGTAGCGGGAGTGACAATAATAATTCCAAAGAGCCGTCAATTTTAAATTTGAAAAAAAAGAAAACAGCCATTCTACAGCCCAAACAAATACAAAATGTAATGTGAAAGGCTTGCATGTAGTGCTAAACTGACCACCTGGGTCTACAGATTGCAGATTTTAGACACTTTTAGTTCACTGTTTTAGTTTTCTGGCTCTCTCAATTACTTTCTGTCTGAGTCTTATTGCTCCCATAAAAAAGAATAAAACCTTGAATAACCATTTCCAGTAATCATCCACATATTTATCTCAGGAGTTGATGGACGCCTACTTAGCTTCAGGGTTAAGCACATACCACAACATTCCTGGTAATCTCTCCACTGTCATCTCTAATGAATGCATTAAAATGCTAAAAAATTTCAATTTAAAAATCAGTTGGGTAGCCATGCTGGAGGTGAAACAAGACAAGACAAGAGTTGTTTGCTCACAGTATCAGTATCGTACAAAGGAAATGGAGGTCTTTTGGTGCTTTTTTGCATTGGAGAAATATGAGATATGTGATCATTTGTACAAAACATTTGCCCCCTCAACCCTTTCAACCACCCTCACCCGGAAGGAGCCTTACCATGTAGACAAATGTATCGGTTCTGTGTTTTACAGCGCTGGTCGTTCCAGTTAAAGGCACTTAATGCCTGCATCTCTACACAGTTTCCAAAGCTAGACAGAGAAAGAAAAGGAGAAAGTATTTTTTGAGCTGCCGATTGAAAAAGGTTTACAGTGAAGATGAAGGCAAAAAAACATTGGACCAGTTTTCTTTTGTTTGAAGTTTTGATAAAGCGGCATGAAGCAGAGGAACTAGAGGACTATAGTAACTCACAAGGCAAACAAACACAGATGTAACAAATATAACCAAGTAAATTTAGTCTCTGATATAGAAATCTGACAATACTATTTCATTTATACATGACAGCATGATTAAAACTAGTTATTACTGATAGAACAACTAGTTTTATAGTTTATAATAAAACTAGTTATTACTAACAGATATAATAGTAGTTTAGATAGATAGATAGATA